TTGGTTGGTTGGTTTTGGTTTTTTGGCACAAGAGCCATATAGGCTAAGCTGCGCCATAACAAATGGTAAATAATTATAAACATCACAAATAACAAACATATGACAAAAACAAATAAATAAATAAATAAACAACAGCAACAAAAAAACAAATATATACATATTAATAACAAACAAGAACGAACAAAAAGCTAAAAGATAAATAAATAGATAATTAAATAGGTAAATAAATAAATAAATAATTAAATTTCTTTACACAAATTATTGACTTTTAAAAAGTCTAATATATCATAAAAATTGGGCCTCTGACCCAGAATCTGTTTAAAATTTGCATTTCCAAAATGCTGCCTACGCCTGGTCTCAAAAACAGAGCAATCGAGCAGTATGTGTTTTACAGTAAGAGGACAGTTGCAATACTGGCATACTGGCTGCTCATCACCCTTCAAAAGGTATTAATGAGTCAACCGAGTATGTCCAATTCTCAAACGAGTAATAATAACTTCAGATCAAATGTTATAAAATTTCTTGTGTGTCCAATTTTCTATCGTAGGTTTGATCTCTTGCAATTTATTGTAGACTTGTGCGTTCCACACCTTTTGCCATCTCTCTACTAGTTGTTTTTTAATGACTAGCTTAAAATCACCTCCTTCAATACGCATTGTATGCTGTGAAGGACTAGTTGATTTTGCTGCTGCATCTGCTTCTTCATTTCCTCTCATACCAACATGGCCTGGGACACAACAAAATTTTATAGAAAAATTCCTTGCAAGAAGATGGCAAAACAATTTACAAATTTTAATCACTATAGAGTGACAACTAGGTACACACGAGATCAAAGCCTGAAGTGCACTGAGTCAGTGTAAATCAGGCAGCGACAATAACCTTTTCTGATTACATAGTTTAAGGCTAAGTGGATAGCATGCAGCTCTGCAGTAAAAATAGATGAATTCGATGTAATTTGCTCTGCCACGATTTCATCCTGGCAGACAAACACTGAGCCAACATAATCATCCGATTTAGAACCATCAGTGTAAATGAAAATTAAATTCCTGTCATTGTGTTGGATTTCTGCAAAGGGCTGTCTATAGACATAGTCTGGCGTGGATTCCTTAGGAAACTGCTTTAAGCTTAAATCAACATTTATCGCAGGAGTAGACCAGGGTAAAATACTATCAATATCAACCTGTGAAACGTTGCTCATGTTCAGGTCGATCGTGCTGCTTACATTCTCCATTCTTATAAAGAATGTAGGGACATTACTTCGGCAAGCTTCAAATAACCATTTCAGCTGAGTATCTGATACTGTACAATCAACTGGAGGTTTAGTATGAGATTTCTGTTTTAAATAATAAAAAAGAGACAACTGTTCTCTCCTAAGAGACAGTGGAGGCTCATAAGCATCCACATACAAACTTTGGACAGGAAAGGTTCAAAATGCCCCAGTGCACAAACGCAAAGCTTGGTGATGAATTGGATCCAGTATCCGAAAAGTAGATTCTCGCGCAGAGCCATAAACAATGCATCCATAGTCCAGCTTAGAGCGAACAAGGGCCCTATAAATCCTGAGCATAGAAACTTTGTCTGCTCCCCAGGATGAGCGGCATAATACCTTTAAAAGGTTTAGAGATTTCAAACATCTACTCTTCAAGTTGCGCAAGTGTAGCAAAAATGTCAGTTTTTGATCAAAACAAACACCCAAAAACTTAGCCTCATTCACAATAAAAATTTTAACCCCATTTAAATATATTTCAAGGTCCAGGTGATAACCACCCCTTCAACAAAAGTGAATGCACGATGTCTTCTCTGCGTTGAAACTGAAACCATTTGTCCTTGACCAATTTTCTATGCGATTCAGGGAAGTATGCAATTGTCTCTCGATAAAACTCATGTTGCTAGACTGGCATGAAATCTGAAAGTCATCCACATACAGAGAGTGTTTCACACTGGAGAAAAAGCAGTTAGCTATGCTATTAATTTTAATTAGGAACAGAGTCACACTCAAAATACATCCTTGAAAAACACCTTCTTCTTGGACAAAAAACCTAGATAGACTGTTGCCCATCCTAATTTGGATGGGCAACAATTTTTATAAAAAATTTCCTGCAGAATCTTTGATTCTGCAAAAAATTTTTTATAAAAACTAGCAAGTTACCCCGCAATCCGAATTCATGTAGATCACAAAGTATTCCGTAATGCCAGCAGCAATCATAGGCCTTCTCTATATCAAAAAATACAGACACTAAGTGTTGTCGTCTAACAAACGCTTCGCGTATGGATGTTTCAAGTTTTACTAGATTATCCGTGGTACTTCTGTTCCTACAAAATCCACTCTGATGTGGTGAAAAGTAGTTCTTTCCTCTAGAAGAAACATCAAACGTCTGTTTACCATCCTCTCAAAAAGTTTACACAGGCAACTTGTCAGCGAGATTGGTCTGTAATTAAAGGGATTCTTGCAGTCTTTACCAGGTTTTCGAATAGGGATAATAATTGATAGTCTCCAAGAGTCAGGAAAAGTATTTTCTGTCCATATTCTGTTAAACAGATACAGGAGATTAGAAAGGGAATTACTTGACAGATTTTTAATCATGCTGTAGTGGATTTTATCCAAACCTACAGGACTATTCCCCGCACGAGAAATCGCTGTTTGTAATTCAATTCTAGTGAATGGCACATTATATTCCTCATCAGATGAAAAGTGAAAGTTTAAATGTTGCTTCTCCTTTTGCACTTTCTAAGCTTGGAAATCCCTTGAATACATTATGTTGCTAAATGAAGCAGAAAATGTTTCACCCAATAAATCAGCAATACACTGTATATCACTGATTATTGTGCCATTATTTTCCAGCATAAACAGAGAACGAGAAGCATATTTCCCATTAATTTTGTGAATTTTATCCCAGACTGCTTTTGACTTAGTGAAAGATGTTATGCTAGAAACATACTTCCTCCAAAAATCCATTTCGCTTTGCCTTCTTATTTTTCTGGCATTTGCCTTTGCATTTTTAAAAGCTATCAAATTTTCAGCACTGGGGTATCTTCTAAAAATCCCCCATGCTTTCTTTTGTCCTTTAAATGCTGCCTCGCAATTCTCGTTCCACCATGGTTTCGGATGCTTTGGGTATCTTGTTGATGTATTTCCCATTGTTTTCTCAGCTGCCTGAATAATACACAACGTGACAACTTCAACTGCATCATTGATATCAGCAGTATTGACCATTTCCTCAGTGATGTTAGCCAAAGAGGAAAATGCAAACCAATCTGCCTTTTCCAGTTTCCAGCGTGGTAGACAAGCTGTTTCACAGCTTTCTCTGCCTTGATATTTTAGAAATATTGGGAAGTGGTCACTAGAGAGTGGATTAGATCCAACCTCCCATAAAAATGCTGAAAACAGATTCAGAGATGCTAATGATAGATCAATGGCAGTGAACATTCTTGATGGAACATGGAAGTATGTCACTTCTCCAGTATTAAATAGGTACAGTTGGTGATTACCTATAAATCTCTCGATAGCTCTGCCTCGACGATTGATGTCCGGACGGCCCCACATTGGATTGTGGCCATTGAAATCACCCATTAAAAGAAATGGAGTTGGCAGCTGTTCAACTAATGAGTCCAATTCATCCTCATTGACTATGACATCTGGTGGCAAGTATATAGAACAAACTGTGACAGTCACTCCAATTGAAATCCTGACTGCCACAGCTTGCAGCTCTGTTGTTATTTGTACCAGTAAGGATGGAATGCGATTTGAAACCAGAATAGCCACACCGCCACTGGCACGATTGTGTCTATCATCATCCTTGCAATAGAGATTGAATCCTTTTAAAGTAATTCTCTCTCCAGGTTTCAGATGGGTTTCCTGGAGTGCCACGCAGAGAGATGAGGTAGATGATGTCAAGTGTTTAATGTGAGAGAAGTTGTTGCGAAAACAACGACAGTTCCATTGAATGATTTTATAATCCATTATATGTTTGAGGCAGCATTCTTTGTGAAGGTATCCCTCTTTAGTTTTACGGCTGATTTGCGTTTTGGAGGTGAAGTTGGTGGTGTCACCTCCTTATTAGTGTCCTCGTCAAAGAAGTCAGAGAACTCACTCATAGACTGAGCCTCTGATTTCTTAATTTGGAGATGGCTGCTTTTAATTTTTGTTTGTTGAGCGGGTTCTTAGCAGCCTTCTTAGAACTCACGTTTCTTGTCATTACCCCTGTTTTTTATAGGGGTGTTTTGGCTTTCTTGGTCTCCTTTTCTGATGTTTGGATAGTTGGGAAAATTAAACATTTCGCATGGCGAATAAGAGATTCACTAGGAGAAACAGAAATATCTGTTTGAACCCCACATGTCTTTGTGGACTTCAAAACAGCAGCAAATGTTTTCTGTGTGTCTCA